CAATAAAAATAACTTCAAAAAGAATCTCGAAGTGTTGAAAAATCCATTGAACAAGTTAATAAGTTTTATTTGACTGTAAAATGTAGTGTGAAGTTTCTGATGTGTCGATTGGGAGATAAATCGATATTTACGAAAATATGAATAATCGTTTGGACAATTGAATATGAAATGCTTTTGTCTAAACGATAACCACTAGTGGAATCACGATTTCTTTTTTGATGCTGCAAATCGGAAAATTTACATTTCGATTAATCAAATCATCGAAGTTAGAAAGTTTTCGATACAGTGCTTGATTCTCTCTCTGGTTTACTATTTATCATCAGCTGTCTTAACTATAAGCAAAGCGAGTAGCAGTTGTGTGCATTTTTGTGATCTAGAGGATTGAAAAGGACAAAGATCAGTAAAACTTGCCTTTTTGAGTGGCTTTCTATGCGGAAATAAATAACAAACTTGTAAAGGATGTTGCGGAAAACGTTGTTGAACAACTTGATATAAACATGAAAATAAAATTCTTAATTGAATTGGAAATTGTGATGCTGAATCAATAATAGCTTGAAAAACATCATGTGTTAATGAATGTAAATTTTTTCGATTTTCATCTATTTGTTCATGTTGTTCAATACGTGATGGATGAACTTCATATGAACGTAAATCAGCTATACATATTTTAGCTAATATTTGGTGCAAATAAATTATATAAATACTGCGGACCATGAAGTTTAAAACAAAATGACACAATTTTTGTTGGTAAACCATTTCCACGTAATATTGTTTGATAACAATCAGCCATTTCAACTTCTTTTGCAAATATATTTAATAATAATTGATGAAGTAAATGCTTTGCATCAAATATTGTTATAAATACACGAGCTAATTCATCCTAAAATAAATTATTTTATTTTTAATTATTCACATCATTAATGATCGAAATATAGTTTTCAAATTTCAATCGATAAGAAATTATAAACGACATATATCCTAGAGAAAAAAAAAATTCTTTGATATATTCAACACTTTTCTCATGTTTGACCCTAATAGAACCAAATATCGTTATCAGTATTGACAACCAACTAGTTCTATGTATAAAATTTTCATGAATATAATTACTTTCAACTTTACAGTGTTTATCGTTTAACTATTTGAATAAAGGTAAGTGATGGCCGTGTTAGTATGAATTAGACTCAAGATCAGTTGATTAAACCTATTCAGAATTGTGACATGGCTAACAAGGAAAGGAGTGTTCTCCTTGAAAATAAGTTTACATCTACAGTTATCATTTCAATACTGGATTAAATAGATTCTTTCTAATAAAATAAAAATATGGTCTTTCTTTCTTTCTTTCTTTCTTTCTTTCTTTCTTTCTTTATTTATTTTTTATTTATTTATTTTTTATTTACAATTTATCTTCCATCTCCTTCACCACGATGACGATGATGAATATGTTGTTGTTGTGGTGGTGGTGGTGCTGCTGCATGTTGTTGTTGTTGTTGTTGTGGTGGCTGTGGTGGTGGTGCTGGTGCATGTTGTTGTTGTTGTGGAATTATCATGATGTCAGCAAAGTATTGGACGATAAGATCATAAAATATTTTTCCGCCGACACCAATCACTATACCAATGACTACCATGATTATTTCAAATATCATCTAGAACATATACAAAGTTATAAGTGATTCATTTCATGATAGACACTTATGACCGAGGCTAGAATAGAACGCACATATTCACTATTTCGAATTGTTTCTCTATATCAATTAAGCTACTCGGTCACGTGTCATTCAACATAATAATTCTTTTCTGATCTTCGTCGTGAAAACGAATATAACAAATGTTAGGAAAAGTCATATCAATTGATAAAAAACTTTTCGTTCATCTTAGAAAAACTATTCAAATGAATAATAGCGACAAATGATATGTATGTAGTTTACTTAAAAAAAAACAAAAAAAAAACAAAAACAAAAACAAACGTTTGTGTTTATTTCTTCTTTTATCAATTTCAGATAATAATGTCATCATCAGTTTGTTATTATCAATTTAATTCATCGAAATATTATAACATTCATTTTCATCTCATTTAATATATCTCTTTTCATTATTTAATGAATATGATTATTTCATTCGAGTCTTTGACGAAACTGTTCAATATATTTTACTAGGATGTTTCAATAGATGATATTGATTCAGTAACAACAAATGATATATTAAAACTTATTCAAGATAATTAAAATATTGAACTTGTTTATTCACTTAGTGAACATTTTAGAACATTAACACTTATTGTCGATACAATTGTATGAGCAAGTTAAATAACTTATTAAAGTTACAGACTTTAATTTTTTCTTTTTTTTATGAAAAAAAGAAAAAAATTTTTAAAACACAAGTTTTTAAACGATCAATTATTTGTCATATGGTAACGACGTATCTATTGAGTTTACTGACAATTGAAGTATTGATACAAAACAAACAGATTTATCAATAAATAGTTTATCCATGGATGAACCTGGGATTGTATATGATTATACAAATGAAATTAACGATCTAAATATGAATCGAATTCATTTTAATGGAAATAATTTAGATCATAACAAAAAAATTCTATTCGAGTTTTCTGTTATTTTCGGTTGAATTAACATATTTTCAGAGAATAAAACAATTTTTTTTTTGTTTTTTTGATTCTAGATTCTTTAGCCATCTACCATCTGATGCATTAGAAGCTATTTAGAAATGTGTTATAAAATTAAAATATACCAAAAGATTTCTTGTTGTGTGTTATACTAAATAAATATAGTAAATTATAATCATAGATGTTTCTGGTAAACAAGATTTGAATTGAATTAAAACTTATTCTTTCTAGTTGATTTACTGGATATATAATGAAAACAATTCTTGAACAACAAGTAGCTCCACTATTAGATGTATGAAGTTCTTTTTTTCTAATTTATTCTGCTCGTTTATTTGTGTTTTTTTTAAAGACTTAGCTGAATCATTGGCAGACACGTTTGATTTAGAAAATTGATAGTTAAGTTGGATAAATCAC